TTCATACACGAGTTTCACAATTTGAGTTGAATTACTGAAATAAATTAACTTTTCCACGACATTCTAATTTATTGAGATGCACCTGTAGACTAAAGATCTTGAGAAGCCATAGTATCGATTATAAACTATAATTGTTAATGATATTGCCAATATCCACATAGCTGACAGCTTTACCTGTTGTAGTTTGTTCAAGTTAGCAGGTGTGCCGTCAGCGCTGGTGTTCAGTAGAGATGAGAACCGTTTTTCCACTAAAATTTTGATTTAATTATGTATTTCATTTTGTTATGTCAACATAACAAAAGATATGATCGCAAAATAATCAATAAAAAAGGCATTACATGCAAATTTTTAAAGGGGTCATATGACGCAATTTCATGTTTTCCTTTGTCTTTGGAGTGTTACATGCTGTTTGTGCATATATAAGATCCTTAAAGTCGCAAAGATTAAAGTCTCGAACCCAAAGAGATATTGTTTCTAAAAGTTAAGACTCATCCACCCAAAGAGATATTGTTTCTAAAAGTTAAGACTCATCCACGCCTTCTTAAAATGCCTCATTATTCAAACACGCCCTCACAAATCTAAGTCACTGTGGGAAGATTTACATGACACTGCCCAAATGTTTACGCAAAGGCGGCGTAACATTTATTCTCGCTGTAGTATTGTTGCCATCGCCGCCATGAAAGCTGATATTCCAAATATGGTAAGGGGCATAACATTTCTATCACACACTTAAGGTACTCGGCCAATCACAACACACTGGATAGCTGGCCAATCAGCGCTTTTCAGAACGATGAGCTTTGTAGAAATCGAGGCGTTTCAGAAAGGCGGGGCAGAGAGGAGCAACAATAATGTACAGTATGTGGAAAATAATGTTTTTTTAACCTTGAACTGCGAAAACATTGCATTACACCAAATACACAAAATAATGTTAATTTTAGCAACGTCATATGACCCCTTTAATTCTAACAGGAATATTGACTCCAGCACTGTGGCTGCATTACAATTCTGCATTATTTTTCTAATAATTCAGTGGCCTGGAGTGAATTATTCTGCGTATACTATGGTCACCACACCTCAAGACATTGTTCATCTTTTATTTCAAGACATTTGTCAGGTTTTTGTCCTTAGAATGCTCTTGTGTGTAAGATTAATTTATTGTAACTAGCCCTATACACTCATCCTTTAGTATATATATATATATATATATATATATATATATATATATATATATATATGCTAAAAATAGCCTTGAGAGCAGTCGATTAAAAATGAAATGCTTTGTTCTGAGAAAAAGTCATGCTTCATTTGTTTGGAGATGCCACTTGGTTTGATATTTCCTATTTAATGCAGTAAACGTCATTTTTAAATGTGACTTAAGTGTTTAGAAACTACATTTGGATGGGTAAACAGATTTTTTGTCATCATGTTGTTACTATTATTATTATTATTATAACTGCATTTATACAGAGGAAAGAGGTGTTTGCAAACACAATTTTGTAGCTCTGTGCATTACTGGGTCAATTAGTTCTTATTCTGTTTCTTTTGTTTTGGACAAATGTTATATTTATATGCATTGTTTATACCATAATTCCACTCTGATGTCTCACATTATATTCAAACTCTAACTGTGTAGACTGATGTAGAATCAAAAAGTTTTGATACAACAGATATCTTACTAGTGTGTCAGTGCTGTACACTATAATAATATATTTAAATTTGTACTGGTGTGTTGAACAAATGTTATCACTGCATTGAATTTCATAAGTAAGTTTTAGTTTTAAAGTTTATCTGCTATGTGTTAATAGCATCCTTTTATATGGCCTTTTTTATAATCATACTGTGCCATTCATCTGTATTTTAGTCTAATAAATGTCAGATTATGTTGCTTGTCAGGGCACAGGTAATGTTATGGTTTATATTGAATTTTATTCTGTAGGCACGATGCTAATTACATTTTTTATGCCTTTGTTACATGTATGTTATATTTTCCAGTCAAAAACGTTGTCAGTTCATCAAAATGAAATCTTTTTCTTTCCCTCCGCTTTCTTTTGTTTTGGACAAATGTTATATTTATATGCATTGTTTATACCATAATTCCACTCTGATGTCTCACATTATATTTATTTATTAAATATGGGATGTGTATTGGCTTAATTGATTTATTTTTCTTGGTGTTAAAATTAATTGAGTTGTATTTATTTCATTTTTTTTTCTTTATACATGTACTTTAGATTCATACATATTGCATAATTCATAAGTTTTGATTAGCAGTGAAAGCACATCTGCCTGTTGAAAGAAACTCTCAATTTAAGAAAATGTTTAGTAATAATTATTAATGGCTTTCTGAACTTAAAGGGTTTTGTTGCAACCCGGGAGACAGACCCTTAGTAGTGTATGTATGCCAAAGAAAATTAGATTAATGTTTGTCTCTTCAGCTGAGAGCATTTGTTTTGGACAAATGTTATATTTATATGCATTGTTTATACCATAATTCCACTCTGATGTCTCACATTATATTTATTTATTAAATATGGGATGTGTATTGGCTTAATTGATTTATTTTTCTTGGTGTTAAAATTAATTGAGTTGTATTTATTTCATTTTTTTTTTCTTTATACATGTACTTTAGATTCATACATATTGTATAATTCATAAGTTTTGATTAGCAGTGAAAGCACATCTGCCTGTTGAAAGAAACCCTCAATTTAAGAAAATGTTTAGTAATAATTATTAATGGCTTTCTGAACTTAAAGGGTTTTGTTGCAACCCGGGAGACAGACCCTTAGTAGTGTATGTATGCCAAAGAAAATTAGATTAATGTTTGTCTCTTCAGCTGAGAGCACAGAAAACAATCATGAATTAGATGTCCAAGCAGCATTGTTGTGTAAATAGTTATCAAAATGATTTAAATAAAGTTGAGTTTCTTTTTTCAAAAAATATTCTGCTGTGTCCGAAGCGTTTATCCTGTTTATTATAATATTTACATGAAAATTAAATATCTCATGTATGAAACATACTGTTACACGAACAGTCACTGAATAACTTTGTTGCACAGTGTTTAATATCGCCGCATGGTTAAACGTATTATTGCAATTGCATTTCAAGTTTAGCTTATTGCTGTGTCAGATCAGTTTAAGGACAATTAGAAGTTTTTTGGAAAGAAAAATATTGAACCTAATTTTTACAACACTTGATAACAGGGCCGTGCACAGGGGAAATATCGCCGCATGGTTAAACGTATTATTGCAATTGCATTTAAAGTTTAGCTTATTGCTGTGTCAGATCAGTTTAAGAAGGACAATTAGAAGTTTTTTGGAAAGAAAAATATTGAACCTAATTTTTACAACACTTGATAACAGGGCCGTGCACAGGGGGGTGGCCCGGTGGCTAGAGCCACTGCCCCTTTGCCCTCAGCTGAGATTTATGCTGTAAAATATTAAATGTCTAATACTTATAGGGGAGAGTGGGGTAAGATTAGCCATTTTTTACTTATGCGGTCCTCAAGATAAGTTAAAATGATGCAGAAGTACAATGAAAGTATCTATCCTATATCCTATCCTAATGAAAGTATTCCTATCATTTTAAATGATCAGTATGTATCTATGACAAAGGGTTCTAAAAATATGGCTTCTTATAAAAAAATGTTGAACAGTAAAGTTGTAGCCTTCCAAATTTAACTTAACTACCGTGCCTTATGATGGGGTTAAAATGCTGACTCAATATACCCCACAGCATTTGGCTTACTTTGCCCCATAGCTGCCATATGGAAAAAATAGCTACTGTTGCTTACCAGTTCAGGCTAATATTTAGCTAAATGATTTGCATGGTTTTATATGTTGCTAAATCCCCTATATGTATCGTAAACATTTTTGGATCTGGATCAATTTGCTTTGATGTAACAACCATATGTTATGCTAAAATTTTACTTTGACAAGCCAAAAACAGTTTTTAAAGTAAATGGGTGCCTTCCATTCCCCCCATATGTTTCTCCTTTTCACAGTCTGGCAGAAATGATGGGTGGTTCCAAAATACATGGTCACATGACAGTAAAAGTGTTAGTGCAGAAAACAATCATGAATTAGATGTCCAAGCAGCATTATTGTGATAATTGAATAATTCAAATAAAGCTCAAAGGTTTTTTTTTTCATAAAATTCTGCCGTGTCTGAAGTGTTTATCATGTTTATTATATTTACATGAAAATTAAATATCTTACCTATGAAACACTGTTACACTCACATGCTCCATGAACACTGACCAACAGCATATATACTGCAGTTTGTTGTACAGTGCTTAAAATCACAGCATGCAACTCTATAACACTAAGAACTAATAATCTCCATAATAATAAATCCAAATATACAGTATTTACATTTTAACATTTACACTGAAATCCATGAAATCCAGCAAGAAAGGGTTTTTGGTCCAGACGTACGTGGCAGTGTGTTGGATTTACAGGTATGTGCTAAAACTGTCACCGGTGGCCAGCTGGAGATACTCTGGCTGCTCTGTGCAATCCATTTCCACTTCCACACAGAGCTTCCTGTGACGTGCTGAAAGGGTCTTTCTCTTCCACAAGCTGGAGGGCCGCTTCTCTAGACACTTCTTTATCATTTGAGACAGGTCCTGCTGCAGATTCTGGAAGTTTTCCCTGCCAGGAGGAGAGTTCACAATAACGAAATCTAACCAAGTGATGAATTCACAGTCGAGTTATGAGGATTGATCATAAAATGTTAAACTCACGCTGTTGGAGGTGTTGGCAGATTGTAATTTTGCCCTGTAACTCCCGTCAACCAGTATGTTGTTTCTTTTCCTTTACCCTGTAGTGTATATGAGGACCAGTGCTGTTATTGTAAGACAAACTATTTCATTTAATATTCAAAACTGAAAATATAAAAAAGCTAATTCAAACTATTAATAAATATCATAATAGTGTATAAATAATACTAAAATAACACTGATGAGAACAATTGTGAAATCACTATTTTACAAAACTGAGAGACAAAAATCACACACCTTTAAGTAAGTTTCTCCTCTCTTTTCATACTCAAACTTGCAGTCTGTGCGCTGGAGAATGTTGATAGTCGACTGACTTGCATGAATTCTTAGTGCTGGGGTGAAAAGATCAATGTAGAATAAAATACAGAATAGCAGTAGAGGGATTTCTCACAATGCTTTCTTTTTGGATCTGGATCAATTTGCTTTGATGTAACAACCATATGTTATGCTAAAATTTTACTTTGACAAGCCAAAAACAGTTTTTAAAGTAAATGGGTGCCTTCCATTCCCCCCATATGTTTCTCCTTTTCACAGTCTGGCAGAAATGATGGGTGGTTCCAAAAAACATGGTCACATGACAGTAAAAGTGTACAGTTGCGAAGAAACGGGGTGGGTCAACTTACCCACTGGCTCAACTTACCCCACTCTCCCCTACTTCCATTGAAGATGAGGCAGAAGCAGGCTCAGAGAGTGAGGGAGAGCCCATTCTTATCAAAACATCTACAATAAATAAATTATTTCAGAGTGTGCTGTCTTCTCTTTTAATTGTATATTTGTAACAACTGAATCAATCATTAACAAGCACCCACCCCCCTAGTGCCCCTTTTTTGCCCTCAAAATGTCTGTGCACGGCTCTGCTTGATAACAACTAATAATGTTAGATAACTCCATAATAATAAATCCAAATATACAGTATTTACATTTTAACATTTACACTGAAATCCAGTTCTGTTAGCAAGAAAGGGTTTTTGGTCCAGACGTACGTGGCAGTGTGTTGGATTTACAGGTATGTGCTAAAACTGTCACCGGTGGCCAGCTGGAGATACTCTGGCTGCTCTGTGCAATCCATTTCCACTTCCACACAGAGCTTCCTGTGACGTGCTGAAAGGGTCTTTCTCTTCCACAAGCTGGAGGGCCGCTTCTCTAGACACTTCTTTATCATTTGAGACAGGTCCTGCTGCAGATTCTGGAAGTTTTCCCTGCCAGGAGGAGAGTTCACAATAACGAAATCTAACCAAGTGATGAATTCACAGTCGAGTTATGAGGATTGATCATAAAATGTTAAACTCACGCTGTTGGAGGTGTTGGCAGATTGTAATTTTGCCCTGTAACTCCCGTCAACCAGTATGTTGTTTCTTTTCCTTTACCCTGTAGTGTATATGAGGACCAGTGCTGTTATTGTAAGACAAACTATTTCATTTAATATTCAAAACTGAAAATATAAAAAAGCTAATTCAAACTATTAATAAATATCATAATAGTGTATAAATAATACTAAAATAACACTGATGAGAACAATTGTGAAATCACTATTTTACAAAACTGAGAGACAAAAATCACACACCTTTAAGTAAGTTTCTCCTCTCTTTTCATACTCAAACTTGCAGTCTGTGCGCTGGAGAATGTTGATAGTCGACTGACTTGCATGAATTCTTAGTGCTGGGGTGAAAAGATCAATGTAGAATAAAATACAGAATAGCAGTAGAGGGATTTCTCACAATGCTTTCTTTGGTTAGGGAAAGATGGAGAACAGATGTACAGTACCACTCAAAAGTTCGGTAACATTTATTTAAAAAAAAACTAGCATTTTACAGTTTTTCCTCAATCTTTCTTTCAAACTTTTGGAAGGTTCTACAAATTCACTGGAAAATATCTGACCCTTTGTACCCCTACTTGCCATTGTCATGAAATGGGGATCACAATCTTGCCAATCAATCAAGTTTAGAAACCTATATAGAGTTTGCCCAGCACAATCACTACCATTTTTTAACGAGGATGAACATCACAACCCTAAAGAGCAGCAGCTGCAGCAGTGCTGTATAAATACATTTATATTTGTACATTACATTTGTGTTACATCTAAACATTCACAGTTGCTTGTTGTGGAAGAGCAATAGGAAGATATGTAAGAATGTGTGGTGGTGTTGTACGGGGAAGACAACAAGAGTGTGTAAAAATGAATAAACGATGGTGAAATTTCAGTTTACTTGTAACAAATTTCTACAAAAATAAATGTGCTGTATAAATAAAGATCTTCATTTCCTTTTTGTGTACTACAGTGTTGACCTCTCCCAATACATTTTTACCTACTTTTGAAATATGTATCTAAACTGCTCAGTAAAATTCATTCAACAACAAAATGAAATTTGAACATAACACAAAAAGAAATTAAATGAAATCTGCATATAACAAATAGGCCTATGTCCATGGTGAAAAAAACATCTAAACATTTTGACCAGTGTGGCTCACACAATGACAACAACGCTTTTCATTTTGGTGGCATCGGCCAAGTCACTGGCACAATAACTAGGTTTTGAAGCATGAGTTAAATGTTTTGGGTGAGTTACTACCTTTTGCAGACATGCAATAGGGTTCTGATGTTTCAGCAAACAGTTTTGACAATTGCACATTGTTTTGACAAATGTGCAAAAGCAATTGAGAAAAACTGTAATGCAATTTTAAGTAACATTTTCTATTTTAATATATTTCAAGATGCAATATTTTCCTGTGATGGCAAAGCTGAATTTTCAACAGCCATTACTCCAGTCCTCAGTGTCACGTGATCCTTCAGACATCATTCTAATATGCTGATTTGATGTTTATCTCTTATTATCAGTGTTGAAAACAGTTGTGCTGCTTAATATATTTGTGGAAATCAGGATTCTTTGATGAACAGAAAGTTCAAAATAACTGCATTTATTTAAAAGAAGCACTACTCACGTAGACCTGTGGACTCCATGCGAGATGCTGTGTTCACAGTGTCTCCAAACAGGCAGTATCTGGGCATTTTAATTCCAACTACACCAGCAGCACAGGGCCCTGTGCGCATTAGACAGACATGTTACAAACTGTGGGTTTTTAATCATTTTCCAGAGGTCTACTTCTAGTTCAAATTCAAATTTTGTCATCATTTACTCTACCTCAAGTTATTCCAAACCTGTATCAGTTTCTTTCTTGTGGGGAACAAAGATAGTTTGAAGAATGTCGTATATCCAATCACTTGCTGGTAGCCTATGACTTCCATAGTATGGGCTATCAGCAACATTCTTCAAAATATCTTCTTTTGTGTTCAACAGAAAAAAGAAACTCATACAGGTTTGGAAGAACATGAGGATGAGTAAATGATGACAACATTTTCATTTTTGAGCGAACTATCCCTTTAATTATCATAGACAGACAGTTTACCCTGATCTCAGTAATATGTGAATAGTACCATCAGAATTATATGAAATCATTTATAGCGTGGAAGTAGAAGTGGAACATCAAGAACCATCCTGTGATCAAAAAGTACATCTCTGTGTTACCAGTCTAAACAATCTTATCACATTTCAATTTGGGTGATCACATCTATAACCAAGTGATATGCAAATGGTATATTATCATTTAGTTGTTCTTAATTCACTTTTAAAAGGAATCCTCATTTACATTATGTGCAGGAAATCTAGTGTAAAACAGTATAAGATGTTTGATGCGAGACAGTTCTGGGTCACTGATGACTTCTTCATTGACATCTTCAACATCATCTTTTTTTCTTACACTAACCCTAATATTTAAACACATTTTTTTTGCTGCTGTGCCTTTAAGAAATGCCCTCTGCAATACTGGAAAACTTTAAACTATTAGTTTATAAGAACACAGTACAATGAATGACTGGCCGTTACCTGAATGCACACCGATGCGGATCCACATGGGTATCCCAGGCAGATGCTGTAACTGAAATGTGCCCATGAAGGACAGGATGTCCAGTGCCATGCAGCAGATATCCTTTGCATGCCTGTTCCCATTGCGTCGAGGAAGACCAGAGACCACCATGTATGCGTCACCAATCGTCTCCACCTGAAAGAGATACATACATATCACTTGGAATTCCAGGACTACTAAGTACAATAGTGAACAAAACCCACTATTCATTTGTCTGAAATACCTTATAGACATCATGATTGTCAAGGATGCTGTCGAAGTTTTTGTAGATGTCATTGAGCATGTCCACCACTTCCATGGGTGTGCTGAAGTGGCACAGTGTGGTGAAACCCACAATATCGCTGAAGTAAATGGTAACCTCGTCAAAGAGCTTGGAAATCAGGATTCTTTGATGAACAGAAAGTTCAAAATAACTGCATTTATTTAAAAGAAGCACTACTCACGTAGACCTGTGGACTCCATGCGAGATGCTGTGTTCACAGTGTCTCCAAACAGGCAGTATCTGGGCATTTTAATTCCAACTACACCAGCAGCACAGGGCCCTGTGCGCATTAGACAGACATGTTACAAACTGTGGGTTTTTAATCATTTTCCAGAGGTCTACTTCTAGTTCAAATTCAAATTTTGTCATCATTTACTCTACCTCAAGTTATTCCAAACCTGTATCAGTTTCTTTCTTGTGGGGAACAAAGATAGTTTGAAGAATGTCGGATAACCAAACACTTGCTGGTAGCCAATGACTTCCATAGTAAGGGCTATCAGCAACATTCTTCAAAATATCTTCTTTTGTGTTCAACAGAAAAAAGAAACTCATACAGGTTTGGAAGAACATGAGGATGAGTAAATGATGACAACATTTTCATTTTTGAGCGAACTATCCCTTTAATTATCATAGACAGACAGTTTACCCTGATCTCAGTAATATGTGAATAGTACCATCAGAATTATATGAAATCATTTATAGCGTGGAAGTAGAAGTGGAACATCAAGAACCATCCTGTGATCAAAAAGTACATCTCTGTGTTACCAGTCTAAACAATCTTATCACATTTCAATTTGGGTGATCACATCTATAACCAAGTGATATGCAAATGGTATATTATCATTTAGTTGTTCTTAATTCACTTTTAAAAGGAATCCTCATTTACATTATGTGCAGGAAATCTAGTGTAAAACAGTATAAGATGTTTGATGCGAGACAGTTCTGGGTCACTGATGACTTCTTCATTGACATCTTCAACATCATCTTTTTTTCTTACACTAACCCTAATATTTAAACACATTTTTTTTGCTGCTGTGCCTTTAAGAAATGCCCTCTGCAATACTGGAAAACTTTAAACTATTAGTTTATAAGAACACAGTACAATGAATGACTGGCCGTTACCTGAATGCACACCGATGCGGATCCACATGGGTATCCCAGGCAGATGCTGTAACTGAAATGTGCCCATGAAGGACAGGATGTCCAGTGCCATGCAGCAGATATCCTTTGCATGCCTGTTCCCATTGCGTCGAGGAAGACCAGAGACCACCATGTATGCGTCACCAATCGTCTCCACCTGAAAGAGATACATACATATCACTTGGAATTCCAGGACTACTAAGTACAATAGTGAACAAAACCCACTATTCATTTGTCTGAAATACCTTATAGACATCATGATTGTCAAGGATGCTGTCGAAGTTTTTGTAGATGTCATTGAGCATGTCCACCACTTCCATGGGTGTGCTGAAGTGGCACAGTGTGGTGAAACCCACAATATCGCTGAAGTAAATGGTAACCTCGTCAAAGAGCTCAGGTTCCACTTTTCCTGTTTCCTTTAGAGAGCGCACAACAGGCCTGAAACATTGAGAGTTCATGATTTGATTAATTAGCTGGCAGTAATTACATTAAAGTCTACACAATTTTGTCTAAATAACAATAAAACACAAATGTGTTTAGAATGCAAAATTTGCATAAATTGGTAATTTTTTATAGGGGTCATATGACGATGCTAAAAAGAACATTATGTTGTGTATTTGGTGTAATGCAATGTGTTTATGCAGTTTAAGGTTTAAAAAACACATTATTTTCCACATAATGTACATTATTGTTTCTCCTCTATGCCCCGCCTTTCTGAAACGCCTCGATTTTTACAAAGCTCATCGTTCTGAAAAGCGAGGTGTGCTCTGATTGGCCAGCTATCCAGTGCGTTGTGATTGGCTGAATACCTCAAGCGTGTGACGGAAATGTTACGCCCCTGGCCTTAACACGCTGTGATGTCATCTCCCGGCACGGCGAGACAAAACCAATAAAACCCATTATAAATGAGGCATTTGTTGCATCCAGTGGGGACATAATTACTGATTTTAATGACTTATACTGTGTTTTTATGCGTTGCGTATCACGCCGCGTAAACATAAAACCATGTCTGCATTTGTGATCGGAGAAATGACAAACA